CATATATCTTATGGCATTGCGAAGCGAATATTTTGAATTAATCCTGTCATTGAAAAATACACTTGAACACATTTCTGTGTCTCATGGATCTAAAGTTGTTGGCCACGAAAGTAGTTCCATCAGCCTTCAATACAGTATTGATTAAAATTATTAATTATTATACCATATACTTATCTCACAATAACCTTTTTTGGAAAATATGCAACCATAATTCAGGTTTTAAGAATCCATAGTTGTGATGGAGAGTTAAAAATGTTAAACATTTAATTAACTGTGCTTAAAAAGCTGGGTCAGTTACGATAGTTGAGGAATGACATATCGTAAAATCGAGTTAATTACAGCATTGACATTCATTCAAACAAGGGTCAACTGCTTAAGGGTAATGACTTCCTATAAATTGATTCCTGTCTTCCTGACAGTCCTCATATTCTCTATTAGTTCTTCCTATATGCAGAATATGGTTAAGACAGCTATGACATAAAAACGACGAAAATTATAGTTTTAAAGTAATCAAGAGAATAATTTAGATATGACTTTTAACGGTTTGAAACACGAAATGTTTTCGTTAACTTATTTAGAAATTATTACGGCCCATCGTTCCGGTTTCTTTGCATTTGGTACCACCGTGATCACGGGTGCTGCAAAGCTCGGGACGTCGGTCCCTAGTCAAAATAAATTGTAAATAAGTTTAGCTCAAGATAATTTATTACTTATTTAGATATTATGTGCAAGAGAAATAAATCATTGCAATTCATGTCATGCGCGGGCGCCGCTTTATAAAAAATCATGTATTATGGAATTTATTTTTCCCTCACCCAAAACAATGAAAACAGATTATAAGAATGGATAGTAAATAATAAACATTCCATCTAGTGGTAAATCATAGATAATTTACTATGTATTTTGATGTTAGGTTTGTTCATAATCGGCCCTAAATCATACAAAAAGCGCGCAATAAATTATAATGGAAATTCTTGTTTTATTCGTATAAAACATCATACCGATAAATCTTCATATAACGGATAAATTCTACAAAGATGAGTGCGTTCTAGCTAATAGTTTTTATTAATAAATTGCTAGCTTCTGCCTCTGCATTTTCTACTTTGTCTGTGGTCATTGATGGGCTCGTTGGTGTAATTTTAGTAATCTGGCTAATAATCAACGGGTCATAGGTTCGACGATCGTAGGCTCGCCAGGTCCAACATTTTTCTCATCAATTCATATATTTTCTGAAACAATGTTGGGAATCTGGATATTGAATACGTGTTAGGAATATTGAAATTCTGTTCGCGTCACGAACCACGTTTACAGATAAAGAAGTCGGTTTCAGTCTGTGAATGTTTTAATGTCCAAAGCCAAAATAGGCCGACAGGGCATCCTTTTTAGATACTATAAGGCTGGAATATCAATTGAACTCTAGGCTCGTCTGGCCTCCTATATCAATTAGAATTAAGAAAAGTCTACTACATATATTTTAATAGATTTGACATTCATTCAGGCTTTTCAATTTGATCGATTTTATTACAAGCTAAGTTATAAGATTTGGGTGTCCTTATCGCCGAACGTCTTTATTATGTTTTACGGGGTCGAACCCGTAACTGCCTACACATGAGATATATAACTTAAATAAAGGGTGTGTGTTTATTCTTTCATTCGAAATAGTGAGCGATATTTTCATGGTATTTTGGCATGGTATTTTAATACCTTAATCATCGATATGTTTTTCGAGTCCATCGACGGCTTCCAAAGAGGTTTTTTTCGAGATCCATTAGCACATTTAAAAATATATTATTGATATAAAAATATACATTACTCTTACAACCATTACGTAAAACATTCATACACTTTTTGAACGCCCACCCGTTGGACCATATCCAAGCAATCAAACTCCCATACGATGTTTGAATTACACGAGTTTCGTGTTTCATATGTCTTGTTAATTTATTGTTTTATATTCTTGTTAAGAATTATGTATGGCCATTTTTGTCGTTTCTAATGGTAGGTACACTCGCGTGCAAAACCGCCACTCGTTGTTCGATATTAGGTATCGTTGGTCACTTCATGATTACCATTACTGGGACTTAATCATACCAGTTTTCCACCAGCACCACATATATAAATACTAAGTAGAACAATCAGATATCTTCTTCTCTTAAATCGGACTCTTTATTGCTGAAGATCGACCTCTCAAACAGCACAATGTCTTGTCGACCTACCTTCATATTCTGTTATTTATTTCGACTATAAAATTTATGTTAACTCTACTTGCTTAATTGTAAAAATTATGGTTATTTGTGTAGCTGGATCGAACAAAGTAATTATGGACTTAAAATATTTAAATAGTGTTTGGGCCATTAATGTGGGTGTGTACCTCATTAGTAACGTTTTATTGTAAAATTCTAATGCTACCCTACTTCAGTGTTCACCTAACACTTAAGTGTTTTTAATATGTGCCTCTCTCTCCAATAACATTAAAAATATACAAGAGGAATTCGAACCAACGTACACACAACATCTCACAGGAAATCAAGTCCTGCCCGAGTCGAAAATTTTTCAATTTATTTTCGATTTTTAAATTATATAGTGCCTTCATGTGCAATGACATGTGAAGAATATTAATGTTTTCAAACGTTATTATTATATGTCAATGCTATATAGTCTAGTTAATAAAAAAGTTCATTTTACTTGGCGTAATAATTCTCTTTATACCTAACGCCTAAATGTAGTATTGTCGTTGTTAATATGTGTAGTTTTGAGTTACAATATTTGTAATAATGTCACGTTAACCTCCGAGTTCTGACGCAGTTGGATCCAATATTTATGATTTATTTTCGTGTTGGCTGTTACGCGACGACATCTGAATATTAAAAGTTGAAAACGTCGCACAAATTAATCAACCTCTTAATAAATAATGTCAGGAAAACAAATCTCAGTTGTGCTTTGGTGAATGTGATATCTTTAATTTTGACTATAATTCTTCGCTTCTTAAAACTAGCAATTAGATGAGACCTGTTTCCAATGTTTGCGAATCGAGGATTACAATTGTAAGTACGCAATGTTGCAGTAGGTTGGTGTAAAATTTAAATACTGCCTTCAAAAGCCATCTCTTCAAAGAACAACTTAAACTAATTATTTAGTCATTGGTCAGTAACCGGACATATGTTACGAAATAGTATTGTCTCTGAAAACAAAAATGTCTCTGATTAAGTCTTGAGAAAGTTTTTTTTGGGCCCAAGGGCACAGGTCTGCATGTGTTCAGCACATGCAACTATCGATCCGACCTTTAAGGCGCTCGCGAAAGAAATAGTGATGCCAATACAAGGGTTATTTTTATCGATGTTTTTTTTGCACGAAAATCTTTTGTACATATTTTATTTATTATAGTAATAATTTGCGTGAACATTTCGATTTGAACTAAGATTCGTGAATTCGATATTAACGAAATGAAGTAAAAAAATCTACTTCGTTATTTTATTTGAAGAAAGTTAAGGTGAAAATGAAAGAACGGCTAATTAGAAGTTAATTAAATACATACGTTTACCCGTCATTTCATCTGCCAACACACATTCCATTTAATATTAAGATTTATTTATAATGCGGCACAACGAACTTGCCAAACAAAGGTCGCGAAACTCATATTCAGCGGTCGTATTTATCGATGTCGAGTGAACAAAGCGCATCACTGTCCGAAAGCAATATTTCACAGGCCACAAATCTGTACGGCTGTTAATGTTTCAACCGAGCCCACTTTCAAAACAAAGAACTACAACATTGTCCCTTGAATGGCCCATCGTAAAAGTGACTTGTCCTTTTGAGGAGTTTTTGGTCGGAGTGATTCGGGTTTTTATCGACAATTGGTAATTAATGACAGCCCTACTTTCTTTGTAAGTTGATGATTTCAACGTCGTATTAATAAGTAACCAAACGATAGCTCGTAAAAGGTTTTTATAGTAAAAAATATATTGTAGCTAGATTTTGCAGCTAACAACACATAACAATAGTTATCTATATTATTAGTGATATAATATACTTTATACAGTGACTATTATATATATACGTTCATGGAAAGACAGAGTTTTGATATGAAAAATAATGACAACCAAAAAATCATAGATATACAAATAACGAAAAATGAAGTTTATTCGCGTTTGGCTTTCAGTCTGTGGATTTCCGGATATCAAAAGCCAAAATAGCCAGCAAATATTGTTTCTCTGTTCTCATACTGGCCGGTTCCACTCTATTATTCAAAAAACATTTTTTTTTTTATATGACAGAGGATGAGATTTCACTCAGTAAATTAATTTGCGTTCTACTTGCAGCTAATGACATTACCTTGCACTCACAAACGTTTTATTGATATTTGTTTAAGGATTTTATGGTGATTATACTTAAGTTAATTGCTCGTAAAACACGAAAATATCGCGAAATTTCAAGCGGAACGTGATGCTTTGCGACGTTAAATTTTACCGTCCCATGTGCAACACGTATTCTCATATTTTCCTTTTGTTTTAGAGTCCATTACTTTAGACTCTTTAAATTTTATATACTCAATATTGTACGGGGCTTATTATGCGCGTTTCGAAAATTCTAACGTTCTATCGTTTCGTGTTTGATGTCGCTTTATAAGCTAAAACTAGTCGAGTAGAGCAATTAGTCGGCTAAGATCTATATATATCTTGTCAAAACATAGATACATAGTTTATTTGCATTTGGAGATATAATTTGAAGATTATCTTAAATATTTTGATTCAATTAGTGTAAATTTTGTTTACCCTCGTGAGGTGGTGTAACGTGCATATGGTCCTAGTTCTGGGTCCCGGGGAAAGGATAACTTTTAGTCGCACAATTGAAATGGACACGGAAAGGTGATTACCCCATGCCCTATGGGGGAATCGAGATCTTACATATTATGAAACTATTAACGATTCGACAGTATTTTTTTAATATAGATTTTAAATGTAATACCATCTTTATAAATAATTCATATCGTTTTGTTTCAGATGATGCTTACACTGTTATAGAAGCAGCCACAAATGAGAGATTACGATTAGTGTGTGGTCTAAAGCCCAGAAATCAGATGCCAGCCGTCCGGTGGTTTTTCGATGGAAAACCCATAGAATACCAGGGGAAAGGCAGACTCGTACAACAAAGACAGTGGTAAATAAGTTATTTATGATTTTCACTACAATATTTGAGATTGTCCAAAGTTACAAAGTTTAAGACTAATAAAGTTCACATTTTCAAGCGTTTAAAAGTAAAATGATAATACAAAACATATGAAATAAAGTATTAATTATTTGTTAACATCACAAAGCAAAGACGGCCTTAGAGCTTATGGCAATTTCTTCTTGGCAACCAAAACAATAAAAAGGAAGAATAAAAGAGTTTTACTGAATTGGGAAGGGAACAGATACAATTTAATCATAGACTATGTTATGTTTCATTATTAGCCCCTCGTACGATAAATACGCACCGTGCGATCCGTATATTACGTCTAAATTAATCGGCCAATTTATGATCACCCTCGATAGCGTCTAGCTTCTGAGAATCGATGATATTGGACTTAATCGAATTAGAGTTTACATCAATATTGACGCATTTCAATGTTGATGCTGAAAATACAAGCGATAAATCAATTGCTAAAATACTAAAAGCAAACGAGCCAATATTTACAATAAGTCATAATGCAAATGTATTGGAGATTAGCATTTAGAAGTATTTTAATCAAATTTTCCAGGTTAAGAATAAAAAGCTTTAGAGCAAAGGACGCTGGTGTCTACGCCTGTCAAAATGAAGAAGATAACAGCAAGGAAATGAGCGTCACCATCAAACACAAACCTGATCTGGATGCTGATATTGAAGGTAGTAAAAAAGAATAGAAAGTAACTAACGATAAGATACTGTTTAATTTAGCGTTGAGCATCTTACATCACTTTATTGACTGTCAGAATGCCCACTCAAACAACCGTCCTTGACCAAATTTTTAATGAATCGTAATGTAAAATAACGTTTCATTGCCCAAAACTGAAAATTATTTTACATAGATACAATGAAATTTAAAGGTATAAACCGCTAAGATAAAGTAATATCGTTTTCTGAATACTATTTGACTGAAAACATTGTCCTATATTCAGTTAACATTAATGCATGAAAGATTATAATTAAAGTCAACTAATATATTTTTCAAAACAATATTATTTAAAAATATCATCGTCTTATGGCTAACCTTCCCTCATAATCGCATAAGCCTCGCAATTTACCATTTATTTTGATTTGGTATTTAATTGACATCTTTATCGGCTGAACAGATGTGGAAACAGTAAATACCACCAAAGCAGCGAAGCACTGAGATGTTTTTAATATAAATACAACTTGCATGTTTGTCGCAGGCGGATAAATTCGGTGATGACGATTTTGTACCAGTCTAATCTTGATACAGGCCGAGGAAAATTGGGTGATGATATTGTATTTGAAAAACAGTTAAACAATAAAATTTAAGAATTTGGTCAAATGAGCTGACTAGTACTTAGTAGTCTTTTTGCCGATTAGTCGGCGACTGCCTATAGGGGTGGTTGACTAGTTGGTTAATTCTTTTATGTAAAAAGCCCCTTTATTTACCGTAACAAACAAGAAATATAATGTAACGAACTTTTATAACTACTTAAATTCTTTGAAAACATTAATATTTTTCACATGTTATTGAATTTTGCACATGAGCAACAACACGGAACGCTGACGATGCCGGTTCAAGCCTGCCCGAGTCGAATTTTTTTTCAATTTATTTTCAATGTTTAAATTACTTATATTCTATTACACTCATTAACAACATTTTTTTGTATAATCGTAGCCTTATAAGAGTGGCCTCCTCCATGCACTTCCAGAATATTCTATTTTATGTGTTATTTAATAGGTAAAGAAGAGAAATATACATACATTTCTGCTAAAATACTTAATCAAAAAATACATGTCAAATTGATACACAATGTAAAATTTCGTAACAATCGCCTTATTACTACATTAAAATACACTGAAGATCCTGTTGCATTGTAACCCATTAAACGTTCCAGAATACCAGTCTGATGACATACAAAGACCGATGCCAGAAATATTAGCGCAACATTCCGCTCAGTTAGTAGAAAATAACACCATCGAAGAACCGCATAAAGAATACGACGTCAAAGACGACGATCCTGATGACAAGAATGAGAAGGAGCACCTCAATTATGGACACGTCGACAACACCAAATCTAAATACGCGCCGAAGTTTAAGCATCCTTTGAAAATGTTCAATATGGAGATGAAACCAGCTGGTAGTTCTATTCGATTTAAGTGTGCTGCTGAAGGTAAGAGAAGTATTGGTTGCATTCGATGCATGATTTGAAATTGTTAAATTTTACACCTCACTGTCAATACTGGTTGCCACTGTAGTAAAAACTGGCTTTGCTATTTTATTACAACAGACAAGTATGGGTTTCTAAACAAGACCCGCAGTCAACTAATTTTAGCATTGGCAATATTCGCAAATCTACAGACTGAAATTAGACGGCTTATTCAACTGAGGATGGTGGTTCATGACCCGGACGGAGTTTCGATATTTCTACCACCTATTTTCTATCCAGATTTCCAGTAGTCCAACATGTTGCAGAAAAATTATAACTTGATTGAAAAAATGTTGGACCCGGTGGGGAGCGAACCCAAGACCCGTTGATTATTAGCCATACATTGTTATCTTTATACCAACGAACCCATTAGAAATCCAATCCGTTTGCTGTTATTAATTTACTAAACTAAATAGATAAATCGACTGAAAACCTTAGTAAGCCATTATTCACATAACATTTGTTTACCAGATATTTCCAAGCCAACAAGGCATTAACCCGCGTTACCAAAAATGATATTCCACGGCGCACCGCCGCAGTTATAAATACTTTATGACGCCGTAAACTTTTACAGGTAATCCTATGCCCAACATAACGTGGTACAAAAATAATGTTACACCCATCTCGAGGAGTTACTTCAAGCCATCTTACGGAAAATGGTCGATGTCATTAGATGAATTGACTAAAGCAGACAATGGGAATTACACTTGCAAGGTTTGCAGTGAGTTGGGATGTGTTCAACATACATATACTCTTCATATACAGGGTGAGTGTTAAATCAAAGTACTAATTTAATTTAAGACATTGAAGGGGAATGTTCGTTTCAGTCACAAGAAGTCGCCAGAATTATGAGCAACAAACTGTCTGTGTTAAAAATTACCAATTTACAAAATGTGTATTTGCTTAATATCGATTAATGACATACAATTTGTAATGAAGCAGCAGCAAACGAGATGACAATATATTTATATTTGATGTCAATTTATTGCTTGGCTTCGAGATTTCCCTTTTTTGTATATTTAAATAGAGTAAAAAGTTCTACTAAATAAAAACAATGATTATCAATATGACGATAAATCTGAAATGTTAACATAGATATTATCTCTTAGAACGCTATCCATCAAGTCCATACATAAAAGAGGGCTATCCTGGAAATATAACGGTCCTAGTGAACGACACAGTGCAACTTCAATGCCCACCAGTGTCCGACCTAGAACCACTAGTCTACTGGTTAAGACCATATAACACTTCGCTGAAAGACGCTGAAGTTGGACCTAGTGACTCGCCACCTCCCGTCGGAGATCGAATTGAGGTCTTTCATTTAGATCTTGGTGGCGGTTAATAAGTTCTCTATTTTTTATATACAATTGGCTTTTGTTGTTAAGAATTATCATTAAGACTTCAGCCTTACTGATGAGAAAATTGTGTATAGTAGAAGTAGATTAAAATGAAATTAAAAAGGATTTCTTGAGCAAAATTTGTTTGATTGAGTCTTAACACAGTTTAAAGCAATTAATTTATGACTCTTTGTCCCTGTTAATGTAATTTTTGACTTCAGACATAAATAATAATTATTTGATCTTTATTCTATAGTAACCAGTTATTCTTAACAACAAAGGCCGTTTTTATATCAATACGGCACAATTTCGTGCAATGCCATCATCATTGTAATAACTTCTTCATTTAAAACTAACCGGTGAAGGCTGGGTGACTGTCACCACATCTAATAACTCATTTTCTAAGGTCAGGGGTTAATCTAGCCTATCTAAAGATACCGAAGGTTGAGGGAACTCCTTATTTAAAGCTATCCACAATTTTCCGCAGAACGGGAGATTTAACTGCGCAATTTATACTTGGTCCTGTCTCAATAGATTACTCGTCTTATCTAGCTTTAATCCAGTATCTGTGGAGATTGTGGGTTGCGGTTATATATCAGGTACATCTGAGATTAATGGTGAGTTATTTGTCCATAGAGCGTCTATACGCCAAACCGGTGTTAACTCAAGCGGCCGTCAATCAGACGAAGCTTGTTGGGCAAACAGCGAAATTTAGCTGCGAATTCCTATCAGACCTACATCCGTCGGTTTACTGGATGTATTTTAACAAACACGAGTATATTTATAATGAGAGTACGTCGGACGCGTCTAGCAAAGAGCCAGTCGTGTACAAAGACGTGTCTAAAGTCGTTCTGGTGAGGGGTTTGTTATTAACGCATGTGTGTGGTTCTTGAATGTCGCATGCTGATCTCGCGCTTTTAGTTCTTTTATAAAAACGGTTTAAAACGTGCATTAAGTCTTTTTCTTTCACTACGATCCTATATTTTTATGTAATTTTTATCAAATACTGTCTTTAGTTTACGCGAGTAGTACACATTTATATTTAATAAATTTAACTAATATATATAGCGTTTTAAACAGTTAAAGTGTTTTATTTAGATACTTTTTATCAAGTATGGCAAAAAAGTTTTTAAACCGTTTAGAATGTTTGGCTTTAATGTGTCTAATCTCGTTAACTAAAGACAATAATTCTTACTTAGTTCAATGGGTTTTCACTTTCTGCGTTGTTATGTTTCGTTAATATTTGCCTTAGCCCTGTGTGTTGTATTTGTTGTTCTCCTAAATCCCTCGCCCTTTATTTTTAAACAGCTGTAGTGTTTGCAATTCAGGGTTCTTGTTATGTTATGAATATGTTTGGATTTAACTCAAGTGTGTTTGATTTAGCAATAAGAAGTAAAACGTTTTTCAAATTGTAGACCGAAAATCCACTGGACATGCCAGAACAGTTGACTATATACAACGTAACGAAAGAGGACGAGGGCTGGTACGTCTGTGTTGCACTTAACTCTCTGGGAAATACTACTGCAAAGGGATACTTGACCGTACTAGATTGTAAGTATTACCTCTAAAAAGCTACAAGCCCTTGTAATACATTAAGATCTACCTACGCGAATGATAATATAAAACCTTCATAGACATTATATTAGTGCTTTCAAGGGCTTAATAAAACGTTTAGTATAAGTATTCTACACTGGTAGTAATAACTTGAGAATTCTCGAGATCGTTGAGTTCTGAAATTGGGCCTAAATGTTTTACGAGTTGCCTTCTAAAACACTTACATTCATTAATTTTTCTCCATTTCTAGCATTTCCCGTGCCAGAAGCGTTAGACCACGGAAAACACACGCTGCTTATAAACATTCTAACAGCAGTATTGGGTGCTATGTTTTTTGTAGCTGCTATCATAGTGGTTATGATATTCAAGAAACTGAAACAAGAGAAACTAAAGAAGCAGTTAGCGATAGAAACAGCTAGAGCTGTGATCGTCACACACTGGACCAAAAAGGTCACAGTGGAGAAGCCACAGATGAATGGCTCTCCGACTACTACTGAAGAAGGCTTGGTAAGAATAACTTCTAATGTGATTCTTATATTAATACCTTTTAATTTAACTTTTAAAGTTTTGTTCTGGGTTAACGTGTGTCTTTATTAAACGTTAATCATTACTTACGATAAAGACTTATCTGTGTACCTGTGTACTCCTGCTAGTTTTCTAATAGCAAAGTGCAGTCATGTCCAATTGAATTTGGTTTTGGGCATTAAAATTCGTTTTTGCAAACCTCCACATCTTCATATATATAGTTGTTACCCACGATGGCGTCTGCGACGATCTTGCTAGTTAATCTTATAAGATGGACATATACTGTCGCGGACATATCTTTAGATAATTCAAAGAGGGATGATTATTGTTTTGAAGTTCAGTTTCCCACCAGTAGTTCCTGAGATTAACGCGTTCAAACAAACAAACTTTTCGGCTTTATATTATTTTTTCATATTATTCGTTTTTTTATAGTATACAATATATAGAACGTTTATTCAAATGTTTACTTCATTTAAGATAATTATGTTGTTGCAGCTAATGCCCGTCGTGAAAATCGAAAAGCAGAAGCTGTCCCAAGTGCAGAACAACTCTGATTCAATGATGATGTCAGAATACGAACTCCCAGTGGACATAGATTGGGAGGTTCCAAGAGAGTCGTTGGCTCTGGGCAAAGTGTTGGGTGAAGGCGAGTTTGGAAAGGTCGTCAAAGCAGACTGTGTGGGGATTTTGAAGCCTGGCTTACAATCTGTGGTCGCTGTTAAGATGTTGAAAGGTGGGTTTTTACTCTTGTCAAATCAAATCAAATCGGAAATCTTTTAGTTAAGTCAATGCAGCTAAAAAAAAATAACTAATTTGATACCAGATCCCAAATCAAGGGCTTAGAATGAACCAGAAGAACTGGTAAGAAAAGTTTTTGTTACAGATATCCTTAAGCACGTATTAAGTGTATATCATTTTCCTTCTTAGAGCGAGTAATTAAAAAAATCCTTAATCCCAAAATGTTATGATTATTGGCTACATATTGACTTAAACAATTAATTAAACTTGATTTGACATTAGCTTGATAAACATATTAATTATGTTCATGTAACATTTCAGAGGGCCACACTGACGCTGAAATGATGGCGCTAGTATCGGAAATGGAGATGATGAAAATGATAGGCAAACATGTGAATATTATCAACTTGTTGGGCTGCTGTACTCAAGATGGGCCGCTTTATGTCATAGTAGAATACGCCCCTAACGGCAATTTGAGGGAATTTTTAAGGAATCACCGACCCGGAAACAGGTTTGTTTTAGTTTTAAAAATTCACATAGATGGCGTGGTTCGCAACCGAAAGTGAATCGAACATTTTATACTAGATGGCGCTTATGTCATAAAATATGTATAAGGAATTTTTAATCGTAATTTTATTGTACCTTTTTTTAGGTATGAATCCCCATGTGAGGATTTTAAAGAAAAGAAGACATTAACACAGAAAGATCTTGTATCATTCTCGTACCAAGTGGCAAGAGGAATGGAGTATTTGGCTTCTAGACGGGTAAGCAAATTTCAGTTAAATTGATGAGCTTTTCTAAAAAACTCTCTTTTTCTTTGATCTATCTATAAAACAATATGTTATTTTCAGTGTATCCATCGTGACTTAGCAGCACGTAACGTACTGGTATCAGACGACTGCGTGCTGAAGATAGCTGATTTTGGTCTAGCCAAGGATGTTCATAGTAATGACTATTACCGTAAGAAAACAGAAGGGCGACTTCCTGTCCGATGGATGGCGCCAGAGTCACTTTACCACAAAGTATTCACTACGCAGACTGACGTGTAAGTGAGAATATAGAGTATAACAATTTTAAAAGAAAATTTCGGCGGGGGAGTCAAAAGATCAAAAAAGAAAGTTTATTATATTTGAATAAAATTAGAAAAAATTTGCTTATTACTGAAGTAACATCAGTGTAAGTATTGGTTGAGAGTACATGTCCATATAACGTTATAGTCTTTTATACTAAAGTATATATATTGTCTATAGTTTACACATATTAATAAATCAATTTTAACGGTTTAAACCGGAAACTGTTAACTTATTTACATCATAGGTCAGGCAGTGGTTGAATAAACTGTAAAAGTTAACATTTCCCATTATAAACAGTCAAGTGTTTCATGTAAAAATATAGCATAGTATACCAAGTGAAACAGCTTGCATTCTTTTTGGGGTTAATAATGTAAATATTATGTTCTTATCATTTGTTTTTCTCAACAGATGGTCCTTTGGCGTCCTCCTATGGGAGATAATGACGCTAGGTGGAACGCCATACCCGACAGTGGCGGGACAATACATGTATCAGCACCTCAGCGCTGGACATCGTATGGAAAAGCCTCCCTGCTGCAGTCTTGAGATGTAAGAATCTGTTTCTATCCTTTTTTTAGTCTTTCAAATGATGTTCGTGTCATTATATGTATGGTATATATTACAACATTGATCCTTTGAAGTTAAAACACTATCAAGGATCTCTTTTTCATCAAGTTCATTAAAAAATGATGTTTACAGGAAGAGACATGCTTTGATATCATTTTTATAATTCATTTTCCTAATATATCAATTTTTTTCAGTTACATGCTAATGCGAGAATGCTGGTCATTCTCTCCCGGCGATCGACCGTCGTTCACCGAACTAGTAGAAGATCTAGACAAAATTCTGACAGTGACAGCTAACCAGGAGTATTTAGACTTGGGTCTACCACAGCTGGACACCCCGCCTTCTAGTTATGATGGCTCTGGAGACGAAAGTGACAGTGAATTTCCATTCATAAAATAACGAACATATTTTTGATTTTCTTGTAGAAATGAAACTCAATGATTGTGTAGTCATTGCAATATTTGTTACTTTACTCACACTTATAACTTGTGATAAAGGGAGAGTTCTTCTTAATAAACATTAAAAGAAAATTGGAACGTGTGAATAATCTTTATTCCAAAGGTAGCTAAAATTTAAGAATTATCTAAATCTTATTTAGATTTTTTAGTTCGTAAATATGTACCTGTGCAAATTACGTACTTTCTGCTTTGCACTTACAGTGTTAAACATCGTATTGTTATTTTCCACCAATCCCGTGCTTATGTGTAAATTTTAAACTACCCACCTTCGGTTATATTTTGTAATATGGACATTTTAAAATGGCTCCTAAACGAGACAATGCTACGTGTAATAATATCTATACTATAGTATTGTTTTTATTTATTTTATGACGGTAAGCTATATGACTATAAAGAGTTTTTATTACATGACTATAATCTATTGTTGTAAATAATATTAAGAAATGTGCATGTCCTCTTGTAAATATACCAAAGCATGAACTGTTGTATTATAAAAGTATTAAGTAGATATATTTTATGATAGTAAGAATTATAAGAATCTCTGAAAGTTTTGTAGGTAGGATATTTTTTTTCATAAATGTTATAATAAAAATAGCCATGTTAACCGGTATGTCAGATTTTTGTACGAGTTGAAGATACTGACTGTAGTTTACGCGAGTAGTACACATTTAAATAAAACACTTGTCGGTTAAACGCGATATATATTAGTTAAACTTATTTGAAAATTATTTCAAACCGTTAGTGTTTTATTTAAATGAAGATGTTTTATACAATTTTTAACTAGTCTATCGTAATATTAGTATTATTACTTGATATAAAGGAATTGTTGCATTTCATCGCCAAATTGTAAAGTACTTAATTAGCGTTAGTTGAATAATTAAGTTAAATAAACTTATTCTACATAAAAACAGTCTTTACCAAAAAAAAAATAGGGTTAAAGACATTGCTAGAAAAGGAAGATTTTGGAAACTATAAAATACTAATTTACCTTAGGGGAAGTTTTTGTAAATAGTAGATATTCGTAAAACTGTTTATATCTAGTGTGGTATGTATGAGTTCACACAATGAAAACCTATAAGATTTAAAAAAAGCGAATTCAATTTGGTTTTCATTAAGTACTAAAAGTTATTTCTATGTGACATCTATTAAGACGAATGTCGAAATAAAATTGTTTGTATATTTGGTGGAATTTGATGAATGTATGACTATATGTGAATACAAATTGTTTGTGCAGCCGATGTGATTTTTTAAATTAAAATTTCTCACGTACTTCTTATCAATTAATGATAATTTGTTCAGAATTAAAGATTTAATTATACAAAGAAAATTATTTTATTAGCAATGATACATTTGAAGTGTTCTCTTGATTTCTTTTTGTACACGAACATTGGCGTTTACTTTTATTTCTTCACAAAAATATATTTAACCAATACAGGCATAAAATGTTGTTCATTTAAGATAAAGATAATTAATGGTACTAACTAATTAGGCATACGACTATAAGGCTCAACGTAATAAAAATAATTCAACTACTTACATTTACTTAAATTAAACAAACGAACGTAATACTTTTTTATTTGGTATGAAACCGTGTTTCGAGATAATCGACAATATTTTAAGCACTCATTCTAAATATTTTATTTTAAAAATATAAAAAAAAGTCGTTGTTGTCGTTAAATTTAGAGGCATAGTCATTAAGTCACTTGGTCAGCAATTACATCAATCAATGATTGATTTAATTGCTAATAATGCTAATAATTTTAAAAAAGTATACAAAATGGTAAAAGTACTATTAACTTTCATAGCGCTATTGTTATGTCATAATATATTAACGTTTTTGTTACCCTTTGTGTTTGGGACAATGATTATATAACACAAACAGTTAGTCGTTTAAGTTACATAAAGTCATTTTATTATAAACTGCGTAGATGGTGAGTCAAGGTCTAATATTTGAGGTTGTCAAATGTCAATACGAGCTTAGCTACAAAATAATGATTCCCGCCATAATAGTCCTACAGATAATAAATAATTAAAAAGCCCGCCTTATAGGCTACGCCACAGATAACATATAGCATAGTTTTGTGTTTAACTATAACAAAAATATTATTCGAGCTTAAAGCTTTGTTATCCTCATAAAAAATTGGATTGTTTAAAAGCTAATAGAATGTTTAAAATCCCACCATTAGTCACATTTTTACAATACAAGTCACGTTAACCGTTTTAGGATTTTAAATCTCCGATTGAATTAACGATAGTTTAATTAGTGTTACAATTGTTAAAATTTGTTTACGTAGGAATTCTAAGAAGCTGATTTGAATACTTGTTATTATACCATGTTCGTACCGCCTTAATAACAATATCACTTACACAAGCATAATCACATATTGACGCAACGCAGTTTCTTATCGGGAATCCTCGAAGCGAATTGCGAACTAGGAGCTGCCTTTGTGTCTTGTTCTTGTTGGGGTGCTTCCTGTCCTTGCTTTTCCTGCCCTATTATCGTCTGAAGGCATATCTTCATCTCCGAAGCAAATTTCCTAACTAATCTTTCTAAAGAGAAGAGATGTTCGTCCAACGCTTCCGGGACTTCTTCTCTCATGAACTCTGCTAGTCTCAAGAGGTACTCTGCGTTAGACCCAGATGAACCTCGGCATTCCAAAATTTGTCTAGCTATATCTGGTAGGGGTGCAGAACCGAGCCAATGTCGATTTTCCGGCACCGCTATATAGAGGACAGCGTGTTTCTGGTTAATTGAACTATTTGGTAGGATTAAACTATTTGAGCTTCCCGCGAAGGAATTATTTAAGCTAGAAGATCGAGGATGGAAATGTACGGTGTAGGTCTTGTAGCCTCCTAGTTGGCATTCCCTGTTGGCGAGGTAGGGCAAGGCTGCGTGGTCGTCAGCTCCTACTAGGAACGCTTTACCCCATGTGACACCCTGAAAAAAAAAACAATCAAGTTAATTCATAAGCAAAAGATTAGAAGATTAAGAGTCCTGTTGACATTCCCACTGCTAAGATTATCTCCGTTTTTATAGAAGGATATTGACTTGAATCTACTACTAAGCCAAATGGAAAACCCATAAGAAGATGTATAAAAAGATAATCGGTACATCATCAGAAGTTAATCTTATGAGGTCAAAGGGGCTTTCAAATAATATAAATAAGTAATGTCGCAACAAGCCTATTCTCATTTACCTCAAAGTAAGGAGACTGGTGATACGAAGCTAAAACAAACTAGACACAGCATTTAGAAACAGGAAACAGATTTTCGATCAAAATGTTTTTTTCGAAATTTTTTCTTTACGGCTAAGTTTCACGCTTGAATTAAACTGCGATGCTACATTTGTCTTGGTTTACTTTTATAATCAACAGCCTTTATGTAAATAGCGGTAACGTTAGTGGACAAATAGTAAATCACGTTTTCTTATGGTGGCATATCATTAAGGTTTCGAATATATGTAGGAGATCGATCTAATTTCACGGTTGAATCCGAAATTACTAAAATACTGCTCAAATGTATTAATTTTTATCCAGGGTTATTAGCTTATTGATATAAATTATAAATCTTATTTCACTCGTTCACGTGGTGCCACATTTAACCCTAAAGACGTGTCATGATAGCGACTTATCTAGTTGTTATTGGGTCAGTTTTCCGGTCAATTAATCGAGAGTTACATATACTAACTAAGGTTAAAAGACTATGGTGTATACCATAGCGTAGTGGTGGTTTTGGCTTCTATTCCTATGTACTTCTAATTCAATCTTTACCGTCTAGAATGACGTCATAGTAAACAAAAAACACGTCAAGCAATTGAGATGGAAATTACGTCAAAGCAGCTAACATCAATTGGATTGTGACATGAGAGATGAGGAGCAACCATTATGAAGCATTTAAACCTGTTGGCCTCCATGCTTAGATACATCAGTTATCCCAGGAAATCTTAAAAAATACTATTGGTAGAGCTCTTTGGTGTAATGGTAAGAATATATGGCATATAATCAAGGGCTCGTGGGTTTGACCGAAGGATTAAAAAAAGAGATGTTATAATGAATCACTTTAGGGAATTTCTGTACAAAGAGACTCTGTGATTCATTCCACGTGGACTTTATTACGCACTTATTTATATCGTGGCACACATTTTGCGTTAACGTTGAATTAAATAAAGATTAATATTATGTAATGGTAAATGGAACCGGTTTCTCGGTTCCATTTGCCATTTAGTATTCACGAAACATAGCCCATAATTTTGGTAAATTAATTGCCGTGTTTCATTCATAACAAAATATTTTTTCTAATGCTCGTGTAAATAATCTGATTTGCATTATTATTAGAATCCGTTTGGAAAAAATTTATTGTGTAAATAGTGAGTATATTGTAATTTTTTTCGGGTCACGAACAACTGCCCTCAGATAGAATAATCGTTAAACATTGGTATTCGGTTTCAATCTGTACATTAATTTTTAAAGCAGGTATAGATCGTCAGCGCATAATAATTCGCTGGGAAATTTCAACTCCTCTTGTGTCATAGCACAAAAATGGATACACTTGAATTTTAAAGAAAATTTAAACTTTGAAATGGGTTGCGTCGTTGTTTTCTTTCTTACATGATGAGCCAAAAATAATTTGGAACGATAGCAAAAAAATGTTTTGCGGGATCTTAACGCGTAAGCACAGTAGAGATACTGCGTAGTAAATTTTTCTCTACTCTATAAATATATCCTAAACTAACACATTTTTAACGACACACGATGACAAACCAAACTGCTAGACACCAAAACAATGTTATCGGCGCTATTTATCAGAATTCACTATTTATACACTGGACAGAGTACATAACATGGTTATGCCAAGATAATCTTGTTATCACGGTACCTACATTTTATCGCGTTATGGTGTTACATAAATTTATTTTCTTATGAGAGTACATTACTATGTGTTTATAAAATGAAGACGATGAATACATGCGTTCTTTCGTCGTATCTATAAATACATTATATATCTTAAGTATGTAAGGGACGTTAAGAAAATAGCAATAATAATTAATATTTATTGAATTGTACAGTCCCAGCTGTGGGAACGAAAGAGAAAAAAATAGAAACGGAATTATTTAAAAAAATTGGTTCATAATATAAAAATTAAATTTTTCCGTTTTATATCGACCTGATAAGGGTGAAACGGACATATTTCTATGTCCGTTTCAATGATCAATATTATATGCAGATAAGAAACTTATTAGAGTTCCACGTACAACACCAACAGTATTTAAACTGTTGCCCGAGATTCGAACAAGGGATCTCTCGCGCTAGGATTACGTAAACCTACTCAACTACGGGGCGGTCAATATATAATGACATATTTATTGTTTCCCTTCTTTTGTACAAGAACATAAATTCAATTCATCTTTAACATACAAGCTATGACTCAAAGAACAGTTGTTGTACTCATTGTTCAAGTATAATGGGTAGCGTATGACCTGTGTATAAAAATACACTTGTTTCACTTACGATAACATTTCAAATAATTATATATCTATGAAGATATAACCTGTTTTATTTCAGCCCTAAATGCATAAATGGAGATTTCGATAGTATTAGAATAACTCTACTTCCAATATGAAAAACTATTAATTACTACTGTGTGAAAGATTATGTACGTCGTCATCTAGCAATCATGCGGTTAGGGGTTCGATGTCTGGTTGAGCACCAAAAACATTCGTACAAAACGTAAGCAAAAGAAGGTAGAAATATCGTTCCAAAGCGTTGATTCCAAAACCGAAAGGTAGTTTTTCTTTACGTAAAAAATGTTATGCGACTTCCTCGCTAATGTCATGCCAATTAACATGGTGGATGCAAACCAACTTTCAGGAGGTTAGTCCCAACCGTGGGAACAATTTTCGATGGTGTAATGAAAGATGAACGGTATTTTGAGTAAAACTTTTACTCCAGACGTCTAACGTCCTTCATGGCGATATAAAGCTGACCGCATGCCATTGAACTAGAGATAATAAGGTGAGACTGTGGTTAGTTCACGCGGAGGACTGCGACACATACTTGAGTGTGCGAATTACCGGATATGTGCTATTGAGAACGTATTGTTATTCTATCGGAATAAATTGGCGCGAAGTTTTCACAAATTTAGTATACATAATTATATAGTTTTAGTTAATAGGAAAATTGTTATTTTCCCTAAAACGATAGTACCTACCTTTAGAGAATTTCAGCTTCAAGTGTACAGAAAATTGATCACTAACTAGCCTGTACTAATCTATAAAGCTGAACAGTTTGTTTGTTCGTTTGAACGCGCTAATCTCAGGATAGTCCTGAATTCGGGTTCGAATTAAAAAAATATTTTTGTGATGGTTAGAGCATTTATCGAGGAAGGCTAGGAAGACTATAAAGCATCGCCCTGTACAAGCGAAGATACAGAGAGAAATGTGAAAAAAAGCTGGGTAAATTATTCATCATTATGGGTTTTCCAGGCGTACGCTGCAGAAACGGTTCCAAAAAGTATGTATAAAAGAATGATTCCTCTTTCAATGAACAAAAAAAAAAGTCCGCGACGTTATATATGCCAACCTTTTTAGGTTAACTTGCAAGAACGACGGGAAGGAACGCGACCGACGTCGTGGGTAACGGCTTAAGTTAATAAAGATGAAGGGGTTTGCAAAAACGAATATGGATGCCCAAATAACGATTCTCGCGGACGAAGTCGCTGACACAGCTAGTAGATTATATATTAACCTGTTCTGTATTACAAAAAAATTCTTGTTTTAAGTACTGCTTGTAGTTTACGCGAGTACTTATTCAAACGAGCAATTTAAACGAGAAATATATGCATTTTTTGTAATATTCGCGAAATCCCTAATCCGCATTCTGGCTAGGATGAAAGTTAGTTGGTATGTAAAGCTTTTCTAAAACAAATCTAATAATCCAATGTTTGGAAGTAGAAATTGTTACCACAGGTTGTGTGCGGCCACCGTGCCGCTCGGAGCAGCATGGTCGGTCTAAGCCCTTGTGAAAACGCAAAAAAGGAAAGCCTTTAAATACATTTATATGGTATACATTTTTAATGATGGCATTTCAATGCCAACTCAAAATGCTTAGTATGTCAACGCATCTTGACGAACTAAGTATTTTGGCCTTAGATATTCCGGAATAGGATAACCGAAATTAGATAAAACTTCACGGATTTGACATAATATGTAATTCACGTGTCTCAGTAAAGTTATAAAATATATATGGATTAGAAACTTGTCGAACCCGCGGGTATCGAACCCACGGCCACGATTATAAGCTATGCATCATTTAAATAAAACACTAACGGTTTAAAACACGATATATTAGTTAAACTTATTTGAAAATGATTTTTAACTTCGGCCCGACGTTTCGGATGCTTTGCAGCGGCTGTGGTCACGGGGAGACTATCGCGTTTTAAACCGTTAAAGTGTTTTATTTAAATGTGTACTACTCGCGTAAACTATAGACAGTATTTAGCTATGCATTATAATTACCATATGATTATTAGACCAAAGACCGTCTAATATATATTAAGTGATTCACAACAGATATATTAAATTTTCAATATTTCTCATTTAAATGTTATTTTTAAAACCCAAGAAATTATTTACCGATAAGAACATACAAAAAGACGTGCCTTGCCAACTAACAGATAAAACTCTAAACAATACAATTTCAATATTAATACGCAATTTCGACATTATCCACGCCATATCATAATATTTACGTGAAAACGAGGTTATTGTATTGAATTGTAATCATATAAAGAAAATAAGCTTATCAAATTAAAGTTGCGATATGTAGTGTCAATAAACAAGGAAACTTGGAAAACGAAATTATTGACGTGTGTGAATCTTTACACGTAAGTGTTGAGTTTATCTTATAATTGAATTATCTTGTATAAAGGGATTGAAAAAAGTCGATGATCACGGTCAATAGCTCGTCAATTGGTCAGTAGATTCGAGTCCCGCCCGTATCACAAATCGTTTTTAATTAAGATAAACATATACGAAAAACATACCTTAAAGTAAATTTAGAGTATATGCACAGAATATAAAAATCTTTTATATTCTGTGGATTTAGCTTCTTATTACGTTGCATCGTATAGACTAAAACTTAGTATCGTTGCCTTGGTTTAATGGTAGCAACGTATAATAACGACTTCTAATCCAACGGGTAATGGATTCCCTTTGGATCAAACATTACATGGGTGGAAGTGGTGTTTCACCTTCTATCAAGTTACCGACCCCATTTTTGTCTCTCCTCTATTATTAAAAAGCTTTAATATCTGTCAATTAATTATTTATGTTCTGTACTTAATTAAGAAATTCCACTAAAGTAGTTTTAACCTTAGTTCAATTTCGTATTAAAATAATCACTATGAACTTCCGCCGCGTCTAAAAGTAGGAAATGCCACATAACATAGCATTCTTGAGGAAATTAGTGATACCAATCGACATCTAAAAGAACTAACCGATATCCGAAAAAATTAGAAGCAATTGGTAATTTCGGTTTATTAGGAAACCACGAGTTATGACCGAGTGATTCAGAATGGTTGAGAAATTCTTTCAACAGAATTAGACAATTTGTAAACTGATTATGGTAGATTTGACATTATTGGCTACGCTTCGAAACCGCATCTTGAGTCACAATTACACGTGATGTTTCTGCAGAAATATCGATTTCAAGTAATCATGGTAAATATAGTGTAATAATAAAATCTTGTAAAAAGAAACGCAATTTGTATGTTTATAAAAATTGCATCTGAACGGTCCGTATTTTCGTAAACTACCTACATTATAACGCTTTGCTAACTACCCATATATTACATTAGATTCTTAACAATTATTGATGTAGTAAACGCCTAGTGTGTAGAACTTATACACCTAAGCTTTAGACGTAACTTTCTGAAGTTCAAAGAATTAATCTGTCTAAAATAACATTGTAGAAGGAACATTTTTTTTTACTAAAACTGACTCTGTTAAAAAAAATGTACTCTGCGTTATTGAATAGAGTAAAACATTGCATTTTTTTCTCTAGACGTGCTGTCCGATATATCTCGCAACTATATCAAAGGTCTAGACGTCTGGCGTAATTTTATCTAGATGTAGTATCGTGTAGTACCGACTTACCTCTTTATCTTCTATCAAAGTAGCAACTCGGCCGGGCTGAAACAAGTATATTTTATTATTAACAAAAAGGTATAACTATTTATTTTATTTTATCTTACTAGCACGTTTAATAATTAATTATTCAACTTTTTTAAAGAATTTTAATTAAAACTAAAGATTAATTAAACTTTTTACAAATCGTGAAAGAAGTGCTTTTATATTACGTAATTATTATTTTCTTTCTAATTAACTCTCTTTTGACTTCTGAATTAAAACCATACAAAAGAAATGACTAATTTTCTTACAACACGCAGGGCGAGTGTGATCTTGAACGTACCAAAATAAACTCATGGCTATATTTTATAGATATAGTGTTTAGCACAATCAACATTATAAAAAAATATACTGTGATGATCTGTGAGTTGTCATACTGAGTATTGGAATTGGATATGTGAGATCTATGTGTGTTAGAAGAACTTAATAATATATAAAATTTTGAAGTAGGAGATTATTTATATGTATTTATAATTAATTAATTCATTGCAAACATATACTAAAATATTAAATATGTTATATGTGGTGTATGTGTGTATATTCTTGAACATATACTATGAAATATTTAATTCTGAATCAATTCACATATATCTTACAATTCTTACAATAAAAACAAGAAATCACCTACTTATCACAATAACATGTTATTGAATGTAAACAACATCAGATAAAGTATATTGCTGTTAAAATGTTTAAATTTTATTAATATATTTTTATTTTATAACAAATAGTATTGGATTATGATTGTTATCTTTCTATCAATACTTAATATGAAGTGCTTGTATCCACTAATGGACTTACTATCTTTAAGGTATGTAAATACATTGGTAACAAATGTTTGCACATTGATAACAATCGGACTGGCAATAGTAAAATAATATTAATTCTAATAATTTCAATACAAGATTTAAGTAGTAATCTAATGGTATATTATTTGTTGTTTAATAAAAGGCTTAAAGTTCCATTTGACATTTAGTAACCAAAATGAAGGTATTGCCAGTTAAAAACATATTTAATAGTGAACTTTGCTGTAAGTTAGGTAAAAGCCAAAATGGTGAAAGGTTTTATAAAAATTGCATCAGCCATCCATTTCATGTTTTCTCAGAACTAAGAATTATTATTTTTTATTAATATATTAGAAGTTAGTTATGTATTTTCGTCGAAATGTAAAACATATTGGAAATTTTCTTTCAGTAATAATGTGTAAAGTTTCAAAAAGTTAGTTGTTAGAGTTAAATATTACCTTGGACTCAGTACCACGATGCGTGGTATTTCCTTGCCAAAATCTTCTAGAAAATCCTTTTACGTATCCAGTAACCGATTGTTGGTAGTCAAATCCAGGATTCCAGCACAGCGATCCATAGCCAAAGACCCAAAAAGGTTCTTTTCGACTCTTGCTCCTTTCATTTAAATTATTGTCTATCGCGTCGTGATTTGAATCATACATTTCAAAACTTTCTTCCGTATTCGAATTGTCTAAATTTTCCATTTTTTTTTTCAAATTTATCACGCGCGACTTTCTTTAAAAAATACTTTTAATTGACACAAATTCAAGTGAAAGCTTGGCGGCCAATGTACAAATCGCGAATTTCCCCGTTGGTATTATTGATGTTTCATTGTTGTTTTTGTTTGAATATAGACATCATAATAAAAGCGTAAAAAAGAGCAGTCTCAATTTTGCGAAGGTAACCACTACCTTTAATCGTGATTCTTGTACTGAGTCTGAGTAGAAAAATAACATCTCGGAACTCATTGAACTTTACTCTGTCAAGTGTCAATCTGACTGATTGCTGACTTATGACAGTTAACTGATGCCACATTTTTTTATCTATGGCAGGAAATGAAGAATGCATTTGAAATCAGGAATATCTTAAGCGACCATAGATGTGATATGTATAAGAACTATAAGTCTTAGTGAAATTTGTTAAGGACAAAAAATAACACTGCAGAGTATAAGTTATAATGGCCCATTTAATTCATAAAGAATAAAATCACAATGCATTAATTGTTACAGTAGGTTATACGTAATATTTTACACGTTGATAACATACAAATATAATAGATTTTGAAGACAATTTATTCTACAGCATCAAACATGAAATACAGACAATTCTGAGTGCATTAAATTATTCAGGAGGGTGTCTTTATTTTTTATAGAAATTATGGCTAAGTAAATATAGTTACAGTCATAGTTCATATAGTATTCGTATTTGAGCAAAAAAGTGCAAATATTTACAACCAATCTTTAAAAAAGTCAAATATATTCATGTGTTGACTCTGTGTAATAGTAGAAATATGGATGTTTAAAAAGTCTTGGCTGACTTTACAGTTTTTTCATATTCAGTAAGTAAAACTGAAGGCTTAGAAGTTAGATCCATTATTACAAAAATGTAGGAAAACAAAAAAAAAGGTGGTTGGAATGATTAGACCTGCTGATATTTAAAAATGTTTTATCATTTTGAAAACGGAATGACAATGAAGTATGGAAACTGTATTTCACAGAGAATACTATATAATTAGTATGTACTTTGAAACATTAACACATTATTATTAAAGGGACATAGTAGTTTTAATATCAATTATTTTGATATCGAAAATATCTATAATTTATGCTACAACTAGGGGCACCAACATTAAATATGAATAAAATTGTGATACCACAGGTAACTAACAACACATTAATTATTATTATTTGAGATTGCTACATCAAAATATCATTGTATTATAATATTTACAAACAACTCCTTAATTTAGTAATATTATTTTGTGATATTTGGCTTTTATTTCCTTCCATATTGGAATAATGACATCTATTTGAAGTGTGGCATTTTAAAAATTTAGTTTACTTTGCCATAGTCAGACTTAGCTTTATATTTGCCTAACCTAGAATCATCTTTATAAAACATTATGTAACAATAAGCAATTGTTTATAGGCGTGAATTTACAATTATTATATTATACATAACCTTCATTAGACAAAATATTATAATACCCAAATACGTACATATGGTAGCACAGATAGACTTAATGTCACACAACAAACAGACGTCGCTTACTAGTCTAAATTTAAAACAAGTTTGTGATGGTTACATCAAACTAACTAGCTATGTAGTTTATAATTCAATCATTATTGTAAAATATTTACATTCAGACTTTACAATAAACGTCCATACAACATCAACATATAATAATATTATTTTTAAATTGAATATTTTTAAGCAAACTATCCCTCGTGGAAATATTTTTATGTTGTGTTGTCTACGTGAATATAATTATATAATATTAATACTATAATCCTGAACACAGGGCAGGTACGGTAATAAATGTGCTTCAATTTATATTTCTCATGTATAATATTATGACTAGCGATATGTTACGATAACTTCATATAAGTGGTAAAACTTTAAATATAATGAGATTACATCGATTGCAGTTTGAATTTGTGATGCTAGAGCAACTAGAATTAAACTGTATTCCTTACACCTATATTTACAAGCACCAAAGGGAGTTTAATACTTAGGCTAAGAATTTCAAAATATATGCAGTCAGGATATTTGGTACGTCCCGTATGGGGTTCGAGATAAAACTTGAATTTTTAGAGGTAGGTAATAATATTATAACCTAATATCATTTGTGAATAGTATCATGCAATATCGTAGGTCAAGGGGCTACCAATTTGTACACATTTTTATAAGATTAACATTAATGCAAAATACAGAGAATTTGAGACCGTTATTTCAATATATTTATTTTATATTGGCAACCCCAACAGAGATGAACTCTTAATAAATATAGACTATAGATAGTAATATCATTAAACCACAGATAAAATTGCATTTTTGCCTCATAAAAGGCTATTGTACACGCGAATTTCGGACTTAAGTCTGTTCCAATATGGACTGGACTTAAGTGGAATGTTTTGATCATACATTAGACTCCGGGCCTTCTGTATTGTGTTTGAAGGAGGCGCGAATACGTGCTAAGTAAAGAGCGCAAATGTGGCCGTAGCACTTGTTGTACCATTCTGGCGTTCTGCCCCTGAAATAAACAAAATAAACAACCATCAAAAGAAATTACATTTTTTCTCTCTCCACCAACTGTTAAGTGCATATTATAATCGGTTTATTTACATTGTATCAACCCTCGCTAGATGTACCAGCCTACTTCTTCCCTTGCCAGCCGGCTGCGCTAGGTATCGAGAAGCTAGCACGACGCCCCGTGACCCCTCAGTTGGGGCTGAGCCGTGGGCTACAGATGTTTCTGCAACTGCGCACCAACCACCACCACCACCGCCTTGTTGCCATGATCTATAAATAGACGGTAAGTCACGTTTACTTAATCTTAATCTAATATGTATAGCTTTATTTGATTATGAAATAGCCTAGTGTTGTATGTGTGATCAAATTTGAAGATGCAAACTAATAAAAAAAATGTATCAAATATCTGACTGTGTGGCGGAAGTGTCGTAACCGATCGGTTATTAATTACGACATTTTAAATGTTCTTTTACCGACGTTAAAAGTAGTTCTCTTACCTACAGCATCTGTTGGGGCTTTCAAATTAACAGTATGAAATAAAATGTAGTCACAATAATAAGCAGTTAGCTAACCACAGCCACTAGTGAAACACGAATTGTACCTATAACGTAAAACTGTACAAATATACAGAACTGATTATCTAAGAGTTTTTAACATTATCTGTCTCGGTATCTCATGGTACTTTTTGCTAGAACGAACTTAATTAGCTTAAAAAGCACAATGGACGAGCAAAGCCTGTCGGGGTAGTAAATCTATTGCACAAAAAAGCAGATATTTTTTACAATCTTTGGGGTGAATTTATATATATTTAATTCCTTAAAATATGATTCTGTGATATTTCTGTTTGTTTCCTGTTTTCTTAAATAAATAAATACATTCTTTAAGTTCATGTATTTTATTTCTATTATATATATTGTTTTGTTTTTTAAGATTATAAATCACTGTCGCATGGGATCCCATCTGTTATGACAGTGCATATATGTAAAATATTAAATATATATTCTTTGGCAATAATAAAACGACAATACTAAAATATATATCCGATAGTTACCTCAGAACGCAATAATCTCGCGGTGGTAAGTTAAAACTCGAAGCTGTGATGTACTGGAAAACCTCTGCAGTGGGCCCCAACTTTTCAGCTACCCTCCATTTTATTAACGAATCGTCCCATATATGCCGCTCGCGGAGTATCCTGAAATTCAAATCATTTATTATTACGATTCACTTACAAGTTCAGTTCAGTCACGTTTTTATGGTAAAATTTGCCTGATCGAAATACTTCACATGTGTAGTTAGTTACCAATAAAAACACTGTGTTTGCTATCGATAATTGTTTCCGCTTAATTTATAATATTAGTGACATGTAAAACTTTTCTGACATTTATATATTATGTTACAGTATGCTCGAGGAGCTTAAACGTGCGACGTAGCTAGGTCTCCTTTTGGGGCGTATGCATTAAAGTATTTTACCTTTGCATAACCTCCTGCGGCGGTGCCTCAACATCAGTGGTGGCCCTCCACAATCGCAGCGGATGTCCATCGCCTACCTTCTTGCAACATAACTCCACGTGAGCAGCAGCCCCTGATACTGACATCCAACCACGAGTCCTGTTTAAGATGAATAGATGTTATATAGGTCATCTCTTTCATACGCTTAGTTACATATTTACATCAAGGGCGAGTGTTGTCTCTTTCTAACATTGACTTTGAGTCTTTATGCTAACATTTATCAACTACCATACAACCTAACACAAAACAGCTATACCACTAACACCTATAGTGTTCACATGTAACATCTAATGAGTGTGTAATGCATGAAGTCCAGCAAAATCTGTCCTTTACATATATTATTACATATATTTAATATTTGATAAATAATTCATGTCATGTTCAAATAGCGTAACTATGAATAATAAATGTTATGTATGTGGTGTGAAGGCATTTTTACTTGTTTTCAGTAATTTTAAGGGTAGGTAAAAGGTAAAATTGTGATGTTCTTTTTTGTCCTACCCTCTTAAAAAATAAACTTACATTCTGGTCAATGGAGGATATTAGTCAATTTTAGTCTTTAAAATTTTATTTCACAAATATTTGAAAAGATAAGTAAGTTAGAGTAAAGGACAGATTGGAATGAAGATGTAAGATGGAAGAACGTCCGTCTAACATCCATATCTCACCTCTTCCCTGATTTCCCACTGACTCTAAAAAAGCATCAATTTAGTTAGAAAGAGGGAATTTTATTAGCGATATTAAATAGAAAGATATGTGCTGACTGAAAAGTTTCAGATGAGACTGATACAAGAGGATTATTTAGATTGTACACTTATAAAAAAGGATAACTTACTTTTCTTTGGCTTCTTTTAACAATGCTTTAATGCATGCTTGTTGAAATCCTTTCCAGTCTTGATTGAAATCTGCTCCTAGTTCTTCTAATGCAACCTGCAGTATCAAAACAAGAGTTCAAATACGAAAAATTGAAGTCAAATTCAATTCAGATTATTCAAGTTCCAATTAGTTTTGGTATTATAATGGTATTATAATGGTATTATAATTGTTAAAGTTGTTTTTTACAAATTGATAGCCAAATACATTTTTTTTATTTTCCAAACACAATGTGGGCCGCTAGTCCGTTTAATGTGTGGCAGAGGTACTTACAGGTACACTCTCCTCGAAGTAGTTAAACTTGCATCTGGCCAGCATATCAGCTGGTGCCAGGAACAGCTGCTGGTGTTTCTGTATCAGCAGCAGCAAACAGGCATGTGCCGCGCGGCTCTCGCTGATCTGACGCTGGTCTGCCACGCTCTCTATTATCATCCTAAAATATAAAATCATAAATAAAGATTTTGAAGACAAATAGAAATGAAAATTTTATGATGATGAATAATTTGAAGTATGTAAAAACAATCTATGTATTTTCACTAACTTAGTGGCATAGTTCTAAAAAAAAGTAGTATTCCAACATCAAATTCTAAATAATGAACCCATGCGTATCTGTACTTTTTATAAATTAACATTTTCATACAAACCTATTAGAGTTTCCTTCCTTAGTACTACCGGTGTGAGGAACATGATGCAGCCTTAACAGAGTTGGTGCAAAACAAACTGCTAAGTTCGAAGCTGTCATTTGGTTCACTGCTGAATGTTCTGCCACCTAGAAAATGACCATTTCATAAAGGCGTTTCGTAGTTAAAGCAGGATTTTTGTGATAAACACGTATTAAAATCAAGATAAGAAAAGGTATATATGAAATATGTACCTCAGCTAAAAATATAAGAAGAGATTGCAAAGCTTCCAAATGCTCTTCAGGTAGTAATAGTAGCGCGCACTGTACTGCGTCGGGCCTCAAAGGTTCAGGAACATCTGAAAGTCAATTCCAAAGTCTTACTCATATATAAATTATATTATAAAATACGTGTCTACTGTCCATGCCTTAAGTATTCCAATAAGAATAGGCGCCATAAATCACATAAAATACGAAGGCACTAGTAGCACTTTATAGCTACCCTCTCCTTCTAAATAAAAAAAAAAACTGATATACATATAAATTAGAAAACGATAGCACAATAGTGATAGAAATAGATGATACCATTCGTAGTTTTTGTTTAATACCGTTTGTTACTTACGTTGAAAAATAGCTATAAAGGTTTCGCTGAGTTTATTAGTGAGAAGCGCGTCGGGTAGCTCTCTGAAGTACTGCTTCACCATATCAGCTACATCGTGAGCTTGTGCCCCTTCGAAATTGAGGCTGGAATGTGTCGGGTCAATGGTGTTCATGTTCTCGATAGCGAATGCTGCGTTGGCTGAACCAGCAGTCTCTACCATCGCTCGGAGCTTGGCGATACGAGATTTAACTCCTGCTTTACGGAAAATGCCCATCTGGAACAAGTAAATTGGTAAGAATGCGACTTCCAGTACTGTATTACTATTAACGTACTTTTATTTATATAACATTTTATCAACTGAATGGATCAAGAAAGCTAAAAAAATCTAAGTGTAATAAACACTTTTAGCCGTTCAAAGCACGAATACATTCTATAAATTTATTACCTAGCCTGTTTAAAAAAAAGAATCTTTTTTTAATTATTCTAAAAGTTTTTTTAAATTTCGAAGCATTTCAATTACCTGATCCATAGCGTTTTGTTTCAACCAATTGAGTGCACATTGTATTGGCTTTGGTAAAGAGTGCCCTGTCCTTTGAAGGGAAATTGTAAGAGGTACACCGAAGACTGTTTTATCTGAAAACGAAGGCATCAGCAAACATACAGTGATAGTTCTATTCTTCCTATATTTTCCTTTAAATGGTTATATCGGTGGGAATAAATGTAAGTTAAATCTAAAATGACAATTTACGTTAGTCCCTTGATTATAAGATTTAATATAAATTTAATATGAATATTTTAACTCATACGTAAAATGTATAATCTAATTAAGAAATGTATGCCAACAGTTTGTCTGTACATAAAAAAAATGTGTCGTTACTGTGGAAGATACAGGAAGTAACAGACTAGAAAAAAAAACATTTTAAAGTATCCTCTTAAATGAATTAGCATTTTTATTATATTCTAAACAGAAAGAAAATATGTAATATAACACTCTAATCTCACATCTCCTTGCAAACGAAGTCATGGACGGTAAAGTTAGTAATTTACCTTTATAGTCAGGCGTCTTAATCTTCCTTATAATCTTAGGAAGCTCCCAGTTCCAACCAGACTTGTGAGACGGACAATACCGCTCCATGCAAGCCGTGAGACGCAGCAATGCTAGTTTCCTTAATATATGCAGCTGGCCACAGGAGAGGGAAGACATCGGTCTCGATACTGGAAATTATTCAAATATATTATATACATATAGATAATATTAATTATACACGCGTGAACATGTCATCTATACTAATATTATAAAGCTGAAGAATTGGTTTCTAGTCGCACGTATTGATTTTTTTGTATTCGATAGACTTTTGGGTATATAAAATGCGTTGCGGCGAATAGGAGTGGAAAATGTGGAAAAGCGGGGTTAATCTTCACTCATTACTTGTTAGAGTTGTACGAACATAATAATATCTTGCAAACTATAAAATCTTTGCCTGATTGGCTAGCGTAAAATATTACTTTGATCGCTTTGTCTTCGATTTTCTTCATAGGCTGTGTAGAATAGCGTCATTTGTAGAGACCGTACACAGTCAGCCGGGGGTTCAAGTCACGCTCGGATCATAGATTTATCAAACAAAAGAATTACTCACAATAAGCTTCAGGATTCTTTTGATTAGGCGCCGGTTGTAACGTGTTGTTCGCTTTGGGTCCTCCATTAAGAGCGTTCGTTCTAAACGAATACCACCGTTGAATGTTATTTCTGTAAGTCATAAATTATATTAAAATTTTCAGCAAGTACCTAAACAAATATATCTCAAAATTGTTAGTTCGGTATTCAGAATTTGTTTTATGATAATTGAGATACTCCACTAAAGTTTAGAAGCTAAACAGGTCATCCTTAGTAACTGTAATGCTGTGCAATCACTCATTGCTACTGTAGGGTTTAAGAGCTTTAGTAGCCTTTTTACATTGATTGTAACGTATTGGGCCCGGGGCCTAATATGTAATTATTGGCTCAAGATCTTAGTTATATCTATTAGCACTTATGTGAAGAATTTTCTTACTTTTTGGTTTTAATATCGATGCTGTCATCATCGTCTTCGAGATCGCCATCGTGTGACCTGGAGCCAGCTGAATTAGGACTGCTGTCGAGCTCCGAACTCCGAGACGCTGATTTATCTCTCTTTAAACTTCTGTCGCGAAATCTAGAACAAATGATAAAAATTATAGTAAATTATCTATCCTCACGGCCTAATTCATTAACTTAATTACTATTGTAATGTATGTTATATATTTCTATTGCAAACCTATCCATCTTTTTTATATAATTATATTGAGTCCAAAAGATTATAAATACAATACTTCCAACTGGTTAAACCGTGAAATGTATTATTGTAACCTATTTACAATATACTTTAACTACGGCTTCGACGTTTCAGATGCTTTGTAGAAGCCGTGGTTATGGGGGCCCGTGAATAAATTAAATACATTTCGTTTCAACCGTTGAAAGTGTTTTGTTTAAATATTTATTAGTCGCGTAAACTACAGATATAACGGATAGATTTTTTTCTAAATTTTCCAACCTTCCAAATTCTGTAAGTCCAGAGACTGAAGCAATAACTTAAATCGGGCAGAACATGTAAGTGTGATCAACTACTACCCGTGCAAAATTATTTATAGACATAGGCACAAAAATGTATCTGCGCACATCTAACACCGGAGGATCTTTGTCTATAGTGCTGTCTCAGAACGAATTGAGCGACAAAATAATCTTCACGGTACAATTTCAGTTCGTTGGCCCAGAATAGTGAAAAACGCGCATTAGTTGCGCCGGTCGACATTAATATACGAATGTTCTATTGTCCAATGTCCATTACACACGTTGATTGTGTCTGCTTGTGGCAATTAGTTGGACTAATCGCTTCCTCTCAAACGGTCCGTTAGTTTATTAACGTTTTGTTATTGTGTTTTCAATTACAAATTACAGAGTTCGAGATGTTTTATGATGTCCTTTTGTCTAAGTAATTAATAAAAAAAATCTATTTAGATTGAACGGAATTGCGAGACTTGCATCGTTTCGGGTTGTGTGTTTTTCAATTAATTTCGTTGCGTTATCTAGGACAATGTTTACGTGTTTGGTCTGTTAGAAGTTAGACAATGTACTCTATAAGAGACACTACCAATACTTAATTTTCAAAAAGCCCTTTTAATCCTTCTTTTTATACCCTTATTTTATTATTATCAAAACATTCAAAGTTCTGATTTAATTATACGAGTTGATTAATTTTGTATAATGATATAATGATTATTATGTTTGTGAAGTAATCATAACGTACTGAGTTAAAAATATATATTATTAAAGTATGTACAATCTTCTAAGATAAATCATATAATAAAGACGACATTGTATACAAAACCTCGCAAAGAGAAAACTAATAGAATTCAAAGATAAAACACAAATCTCGCTAGGGGCTCTAAGTTTGAGCAAATTTACTTTGTGCCAACTTTTAAGTACGCCCTTGAGTGCCTCATTCAAACTCGAGAACTTCACCAAAATGAACAATGCTGAGTAATCGAGTGTCTTCACTAAGTATTTGCCAGTTTGTTCAAACTCCAGTTTTATGTTCACGAGCTCATCAAAAATTGACCGTGCGAACGTTTACGGATTTTTTATATGACGCTACACATCGAAGCGAATTCTTTAGCACTTACACCACCTTCATATATAATATAATACAATAAACCAAACCAAAAACAATCTAAGCCGTTCACTAATCCACTTAAATTGAATAAACTTAAACATGTTTATTCATATGGTAAGAGACATCAATCAGCTAGAAGTTAGTAACTATAGGTTGACGTATAGGCGTTAAAAAAAAGCGGCACTGGTCAGTTCTCTACAACGATTAGACCCTTCGCATTTTTTAAATTTTGTTTGGACGGTCTAATGTATTAAAAGAGAATTCAGTTTTAACTCCTCAACAAATTTTGAAACATTTCCTTGAAGTATCTCCGATTCGTAACTTATATTATTTTTATATCATTCTTTACTAACTTTTGACCCTCTTTCCCCAAATTTAGGGAACTAGTTCTTATCGCTTGTCTCCTGTGTGGCGTATGTCCAGGTGATTTTTGTACTTCTCGAAGGACTTCTGGGTCCGGTTTGAGATCCATCGGCGATGGTGGTTCGACATAGACCTGTAATTCCAAAAATTATATTTATATGATGAAGTCAATTACTTAGAAATAATAAATATCTGATACTTACTTTGGGATTTTGCGCAACACAACTTTGAAGGGAAAATATCACATTCTTCTAGCTTTAACGGGCTTTAAGTTTGATGTAACAGTAGCAATACTAATATGGCTATTAATCAACGGGTCGTGGGTACGATCCCCACCGGGTCCAACATTTTCCCAATAGATTTGATATCTTTTCTGAAAAGGGTTGAACTTCATCTTCAACTCTGGATTTTAAATTATTAAGTGGTACCCTTGTGGTAGTAAAACTACAGAGAAAAAGGCCATGAAGTCTAAACACGTTTCGGTTTCAGTCTGTGGATTTCCGAATATCTAAAGCTAAAATTTTTCAGATACGCTGGGGAATTTCACCGAAAAAGTGAACCTCGTGCTTTTCTGTCCTCCTCTATCATAAAAAAAAGTTAATCACAAACTTACCTCTGTCGTATGATGTGTATTATGTTCCTTATAATAATTATGCCTCCAACTCGCCGGCTGACACTCCGAATCGCTCAGCGCACTCGAATCATCACTTTTCAAACCTCTATGGAATATCCTTTTTGCTCTACCTAATTTTGACTTAGAACTCTTATTGCTTGATCCCATACTGCCATCTGAGGCGTAACTTGAGCTATCGTCTCCAAACGGGGCATGAAGGATGAAGGACTGTTCGAGAGGAGCAATAGGAGATGGAGGCATGATTGTCATTGGGGATGGTGGCTGGGTTCTAATGGCAGGAGCATGTAGCGGAGAACTATGAAAATCGGGGAAGGGAAATGCTGAAGGAGTAGTAGGAGTCATGTCTATATAATTCAAGTCGGGATATTTGTCCGAAACGTCTAGAAAATGCGGAGACGACACGATAACTTCTGTTCTATTCTGACGTTTTCTTCTTCTCGTTTTGAGTGACTCAACCCTTCGTAGTAGAGCCTTCGCTCCGTCCCGCAATCTTTCTGAACCTGTTCGTCTGAATCTGCTGCCTGTGTCTTCTTCATCTTCTTTATCACTTGGTAACTGTATGTGCGTCTGACCGGGAACTGTTAATCTGAAAAAAGAAACATAATAATTTAAATGTACGTATTGGGTATCCGGTAAAATACAATAGTTTTATAATTACTTCACGTTAAAAAGAAGAAATTAAAGAAAAGTGTAATCTAATTTTTCTACGACTTACAAAGCCCGATTCAGTGTCAGATATTTAATTAAATTTCGTTAAGAACAAAGAATAATTCCTGTTTACAAAAGGCAGAGTTATCTTTAGATCCGAATAATGGCTTTTTAATGAGAAAATTCTTTTAAAGGGATTTTAATTAGAAACAGAAAAGCTATCTGTTTGTAACGGACAGTTGTTTCTTGTTGTTGTATTTGTTCAAATGTTCGTTTCTTTGAATGTACAGTAAGCACGAAATAAAACATCATAAGAACGGTGAAAACTTTAAACGCCCCCATTAGAGATAAAATAATGTGATGATAAAATGTGTTGAATACAAATGTGAAAATGATTTTGATTTTAATGGTATTTCATTTTATCTCCGAATCAATATTAAGTAAGATTATTTTTCGATGAAATCAAAAATAATTGTTCAGTACATAAAAGTACATCAAAGACGTAACGAAGGTAAAATTATCGCGTCATCCAAATGAATTGAAGGTTTTCATCTCGGATGTAAATCTTTTTAATGTAGGGTTGTCGCGTGTTGAAAATTACAGGTGAATGTGGAACGTGAGATATTTTTTCCTTTTATATTTATATCACTATTTTTGGTAGCAATTAAGTTATAATGAAAGATAGAGTTTATGTTGTGAGACTACGTTATCTATACAAATAAATAAAATTGCAGTGTCTGTTTGTAACATTAAAATAACCGCTTTTTACTAAATGCATATGGATTTATACACAGTACATATACCAGAACAACATTTAAAAATAAAATTGTCTGTCTGTCTGTCCCACTTTAACTTCGAAACTACTAAACTGATTTAAATGCAATTTGGTACACAGATATTTTAGAGCCTGAGAAAGGACATAGGCTACTTTTTAATGCCAAAAAAGGGTTGATAGGGGTTGAAAAGGGGCATGAAAGTTGCTATGGAAATTCGTGGTTTTTGAAGTTAGAACAATGAAACCTCTTCTTTGGCTTTTTTGAATGGGAGAGGGAGTGGGAGCTAGAGTAGGAGTGATGTGAGGTGAGAGTGTTGCGCCAAAGTAGCACTTACACTCTAGATAGGTTGCATTAAATGCGCCCTTACTTATATACAGCCTAAATAATTAAAAATTCTACCCCAAGTCACTATTCCATGCGGACGAAGGCGCGGGCACAGCTAGTTTGTTATATAATGTGTCCTAAATAATTAATAATGAGAATGACATGTAATTAATATAATAAAAAGAAGTTGAAGTTGAACTTTTAAGATATTACCAGAGCAATAAAATCTATATTTTGTAAACGATGAGACTGCTGAATTTTCAGGCTAGTGACAACCCTAATAAGATCGAAGTGTGTTGAAAGGTGGCAATTAGTAATAATTTGTAACACAAACGACGTCTTTGCTCTTAATGCAATATGTTCAAAATTTCCTGAAGAGAAAGCTGAATTGAATTATTTAGATGAATTAATTACAAGTTGTTCATATTTAATTCATATTAGGAAGTCAGGAAGTAAATTACAATGTATAAATAATATAACAATAGATGACAATTGAAAGAGACTAAGATTTAAAAGGCCTGTTGACAAATCTAATTGAGACTTTAAAATACCTCAATTTAAAGGCAATTCAACTTTAGAGTTTAAGCGGGAAAGTCAAACAAAAGCTGATTTCAAAACCACAGAAGGCCAAAGGGGACAATAACCGAGAATTCTTTGCGCCACTTAAGGCATTCTTTTGAGTACTTTGTCTTGGGAGACTGAACTTTGAAGAATGTGAGCAATTCATAGCTGTATGCAAAAACCTATTTCTATTAAGGCTAAGCACGTTCTGTTCGAATTTAATTATGAGATAGTAAAGTTGAATTTGTTAAAAGCATACGTAATTATAAGTTACATGGAGTTGAATGTTATAAAGTAAACTTTAATAAATTTTCACACGATGGCACTATATGAATTAAAAATCTATTATAAATTGAAAAAATACGACTCGGGCAGGCCTCTCTAACTAATTGAGCTTCAGAGTCCTATACGCCATCGTCAATTCTTTTTTCAACTTATATATACCTCTCGCGCAATGTAATTTCAAACTTAACACTTAGTGTAGCACTTGGTAGCTCAATTGGTTGGAGCAGCAGCACGGAATGCTAAGGATGCCGTTTCAAGTTCTGCCCAGGGTTGTAATTTTTTCCATTTATAATCGATTTTTAATTCGTTATTAAGTAAGGCACGGCGAATACTTAAAACGCAAAATAAGGTAGAAGCAGAAATAAGCTTGTTGATAGAGTTCTCATTGTGACCATTCTACCAACTAAACCTATAACTAAATAACTCAAAGACGAATTTCAAAAACAGTAATATGCTATGAGAAAATAACTTCTCTCACAGATCGTATCAAAATATAATAACAGAGCACGCAATATTTCCATCAAAGTCAACAGCTAAATACGACCTTTAATTAAAACCGCGTTTTAATTTACTAATCGTGTTTCGTGTGAGGAACATTTTTCTTATGACGCTACTCATCCGGTCATTAGAAGAGATTTGGTATTTTACAATTAATCATGTCTAACAACTTTCCGCTCTAAAAATCTAACGCCCTTTTATAGGTTATTGTAGGTTACGCAACATGAGGTGGGGTTACATAAAAAGCGATTCTCACATGACAAAGATTACAATCTATGTAACGCTATAAAATAACAAACAGCTTATATTTTAGCCCAGGATTAAATTAATCCAAAATTGTTGAATCCGAATTGTCCCAAACCAAAATAAAACACAAACAGTGCTTCATTCAACTCTATGGTTGTCTGTAGTTCTATGTCATAAATAAGATTAAGAAACTTAATACAGAACTAAAGCAGAAAAGCTCTAGTCACTTAAGAAAATAAATGTATTAGGTACACGGCCCATGCTTTCAGTTGTTACAAAATTAATCTGTATATATGAAGGCGAAGGCCAAGGCGAAGTTATCCACTTCTTTCTAATACAAATGACATAGAGCTTGTTGTAGTGTTTTTTTCAGCTCAATACCCTGACCGTTTCATTATTGTATCGTTAGGTCGACAACTTTCCCTGAAAAGAATGAAAGCAGCGATTGACAGTGCAATAATTAAAGATAGAAAAAAATAATCGTGTTTGAGATCGCTTTTAGTATTGTCAGTACTTTAGGCGAGTAGTACACATTTAAATGAAACATTTTAGACAGTTTAAAACTTCTCGACATTTCTAATACATTTCGCATTTTAAACCGTTAAAATGTTTCATTTACATTTGTACTACTCGCCTAAAGTACTGAAAATACTAAAAGCGATCTCAAACGCGATTATTTATTTCTATCGCGATAACTGAGGCCACGCGGAAAGTGAGCTACCATTATTTCCTACGGTTTAGCAATCTAATATAGAAACGTGATAGGTGAAGGGCTGAGTGCCCAAAATGTAAGTAGAACAAACAGCTGGTAGGCATAATTATATGTAATTTAGTTAACTGGCCTTATTGAAGGCCCATATTGTGTTTTTGTAGTCAGGCTTCTAACTAACATAAATATTATAAAATTAATTTTTCTTATTAACTCGGTCTAGTGCTTTGTAAAAAATAAATGGCGATACATATATTTTACAAATTTAAATGTAACACTTTTAATTTAAAATCAAAAATATACTAGTTGACTTATTTTAACTACGGGCCGTTGTATCAAAACTTAGGACCTATGCTACCACGGCCACTGCAAAGTACCCGAAAGTTTACTAATATATTTGGCGATTTTTACCGTTAAAAGTGTTTTAAACAGACTCTATAACATACCTGACCGAAATTAATGTTTCACTCGGTTTCGACCCACCTTGGACCATTGAACTAAGTAGGTGGTCATTCCTCTATTTATCTTCACAAATTCACAAGAACAAAAGACTTACTGTATGTTGTGACAAGCTTGTTACTACAAAAATTGACGTGTTATCATTTTTTTCCCAACTCAGTCAACATTAATGCTCTATCGTCACTTTGAGCGCGACGTTTGGCCGTTATAAAACGGCTGCTCAAATGTGGACGTGTGAAGGAAGACAGACTACTAGGTCCATTAAATTTGACAGCTCAAAGCAGCAACATTTGAGCGATCTTGTAGCGCACATACAGCTATTACTGATCTGATTTTTTAATTTAGATTTCTGGGTGCTACAAAAATACATACCAAAAATTGTTTCAAATAATACTTTTTAAACACTAGTTTATCTAGTTAAAGCTTTTGTTGTTTGCCAGATTATTATTATTGTTACAAATAATTGGTAATGCATTAATTTTTAGTTAATTAGATTACAATAAAAACAGTCATTGTAACGTAATCTCAAAGGATAGAAATACATGTTCTTTTAAATAAAACACTTTAACGGCTTAAAACGCGATATATTAGTTAAACTTATTTGAAAATGATTTTTAACTTCGGCCCGACGTTTCCTCGCGTAAACTATAGACAGTATTTAATACATGTTCTGTTATTCGAATATTTTGATATTGAAAGGGGAATTATTGTTTCATACAAATTTTAGTTTTTTGAACAGTTGCGCATGCAACGAAAGCTCTCAAATATCTTAGCTGTTTCTTTCTATATTTTCCATTGCTGCTTCGCTTATTGCTCCCAACGTTGTTATATCACCTAAATATAATCTATATGATTAAAACCCAGTAGTCACTGATGTTAGCGCGTTTAAATTAACAAATAAATTTGTATGCTTTATAATATTAGTATAGATTAGTACTTAGTTAAAATAAACTATACTAATCCCATAGAGACTAAAGGCCCTATATATTATATTGGATGAAAGTCAGCGTAGTTAGTGTATGCTCAAATTATCTACAGCTGTATATTACCATAGACTATACAAAGGACTAGTTTCTAAAGAACTCCTTGGAGTACATTGACAGCAAACTTTTCAGTCGGTACCTATACCTACCTAAAATAATGCTGAACAGTTTACGTAACTGATGTATCTCGGTGAGTGTACATAACAATTACAATGATCAAGTAGCGCCCGCGCCGACTGAACTGACAGCCATTACGATTTACGAACAACGATAATAATCATTGACAATGACCGACCAATTTTATTGAACTTTCGTTGCCCTAAGTGAATATTACATATTGCACTTTGTATCAGAAATGTACGGTAAATGTATGTTGTTTGGCGTATTAATTATAAAAGACACATCACTAGGTCTTAGAAGACATAATACATAGTGATAATTAGTAGTAGTATTAGTTATACAGACATATCTGTATAATAAAAAACAGAGATATTAACTTTACTTGACAATATCTTCACATGCATAAAGTCAAATCCTGTATGGGGCGAACACAAGTCTGTATCCGTTTCACCCAAGCTTGCTTTTATAGGGAAGTAGTTCATCAGACTTTTGTACTCTGCCCAACCGAAACTAACAATTGTTTCCACGGGGTTCGCATGACAATATCTCTTAAAGGCTTATTTGCTTAGAAGTCATCTGTTAGTAGCTTAGTAAAATGGAATATTATTTAGAGGAATGAATCAAAAAATACCTAGCCGGGAGTCGAAGCCACGATCGATAGCCTATTAATCCGCTGCCAACCAATTGAGCTACCGTGATAAAGTATGATCATCGGATTTCTCAATCATTTACACAATCGTGGGTTCGAATTCGGTCTGTATCATTGTATAGGTTTCAAGTATATATATTATGTAAGTACTAAAAAAATTCTTCATCTTTACGGGGAAACATTCCATTTAAATTATATAGTGCCTTCATGTGCAATAAATAACATGTGAAAAATATTAATGTTTTCAAACATTCCATTAGTTAAATACTGTCTATAGTTTACGCGAGTAGTATATATATTGAAATAAAACACTTTAACGGTTTAAAACGCGATATATTAGTCAAACTTATTTGAAAATGATTTTTAACTTCGGCCCGACGTTTCGGATGCTAAACTGGACTAAAGATGGAGGATGTCTCTGACGTCAAAGTAAAAAATTGCTACGCTAGCGCCATCTGTTCCGTCGAAGTTGGTATTTGGCGAAACTGGCCGGGTCCTTGCAGAATTTACTAAGAAATATTGTACGAGATATTTTATTAATTTCTTTGTTGGTTTATTGATGCCTTGTCTGATGGGAGACGATTATATTTCAAATTAAATCGCTTTGAGTGCTGTTTGTTATTAATATTTCTGAATTAAAAATCAGTTCAAACATGACTTTGACGTGTACGCTTGATGTAATGCTTGTTTGTTTAAGGTTAACATGGATTTGATTTGCTTTAATTGGATTTCGTAAAGGTTTAGTTGTCGAATGATTGACTAGCGTAAAATATAACGACATTTGATCTTTGTTTTTTCTTATGTATAGAAGTAATAGTAATTCAAGGTACGTTGAAAGGTCTTATTTGACTTCTTGCGTATGTTTTAGGAAATAATCGCTAACGACCTTCATACTTAAACACTTCAATAATAATTATTATGTTACATTGTTTTTGCTTTGTTCTTAAATATCATTACTTGCTATTTTTATATTGTCGGACTCATCTACCCGTGAGAAGATGCATGTCATAAGTCACTTGTTATAAGTACCACGTTCAATACGTCGTTTATAACTTCTGGAGCTACTTACAGATCAGGCTCGACATCTGTATAATGACCATCAGCGTCCACTAGTCCAACTCTGATGGTGGGAAGGGTTTCATCTTCGTCATCTTCTATTTCTCCTCTCGCCTCTCTGGCTTCTCTTTCTGCTAGTGCTCGAGCGGCAATAACCTTTAAATCCAAGAAAATTTTGTTCAGATCGTCACATTTTTATGGGTAACATTTATTACTAGACTAATAGCATATAACGTTCATATAGTTATTACTAACATAATTAAAGTATTATAAGTGTAATGTATTTTTTAATTCGTGAATTATTTTAAGTTTTTTCCTAGGTTTATTAATTAGATAAGAATTATAATTTGTTTAGTACCTGAAGTCTCCTTTGTGCTTGTGGCGTTATCTCCACCACTCTCGACCATCGTCTGGACTTCCTCTCGTACTGCCATTTATCACTAAGCGCACATTGCTCATCGTCAGAATCGTTCTGAAAAGAAAACCAGATATTTTTAATTGGAAAATTTGTTACTTCGGCTTAGCCGTTACAACACCACACAATAGATTTTATGACATTCATATATTTATTTACAATGGGAGATATTTATAGCGGTAAATAATTTGTTTATTTAACTACATTCTTCAAGACATTCCGAGTATTTCTGTATATAGAAATATCGAAATAGCGACGACTGGAAAATGGATCACTATTGTGCTTGAGCTATTTTCCTTCAAGATTATATGGATGATAAGGAACGTGGAAGGCATCTCTATTCATAGCTATTCTATTTTGCCATCTTATTACTTGCAGGATCATAATTATAGTAGAAACTAAAGCTTACATTTATTGTATGATGGATTACATTTATTAATTCCTTTCCAAATTGCCCTTTCTACATGCAAGATGATAAATTTTTAAGCCACGTGGAAAACCGGGACATGTACTATGTCACAACCAAACAACCACTGTGACCACCAAATCTTCTTCCGAAATCAAAACCCAAACCTTATCGCGTTTAACTATTCAACCATGAAGGCGGTTAAATATACCAAGACATAGGGACCGTAAAATATTCGCATCACATTTCCAAGAACAATGAAAGGGTAGAGAACTGTTTAGATTCCAAAAATAAATTTGGGTCAGTCAATATACTAACTTCTAATTCGATTACTTGAAAATCAATCAATTTTGATCCGATTTCTGCTCCTAGACACAAATGTAATCGGATTATTATTAAACAGGCTTATTCAGGAGCTATCCTTGATGTCATTTTCGTTATATCAATCTATTTATTAGATTAACTCCTCGTCGAAGGTCGAGTATTGTATTATCTGTTTCGTAGGAAAATTTTGAATAGTTAACCTCCTTGGACTGTACCGATAAAATGGTTAAAATATTATTACTTTATTTAACTCTGAAAATAAATCTTATAATATAAAGGTTTATATTATAAGATTTATTTTCATTTGTTTTCGAAGGTTATTTATTTCTCAATTGATTAAAAAAATCTCTTACCGAGAAACTAGGGTGATTTGTTTTTACAAATAAATAGCTTGCGTTAAGTGCTACTCTAACCGACTTGCAGCTTCTAACAGCATATTTTGTGGCAGTTTCAGTCAGTATCATTAAAATGAGTATTTTATGATTAATAAATAAATAAATAGTAATGTAGGTTGTCGAAAGACGGTTTTTAATAAGTTAATATTTATATCTATAAATTTAAAGTCAATACCGAACAGTTTTGTAAAGATATTTTAAAATATATTGATAAAGGTACATTTTATTGTACACACATAATTAAAGTAATGAAATAAACAGTTGCTACAGTCAATGCATACTTTGGTTCGTACAAATATATCGCCCCGAGTCATCACATATTTAATTGCTCAAACAATCGACACGCCCCTAAATATTTACCATTTGCATGAAAAAAATATTAAAGCAAGGATAACGAAAAAAGTTTTTGTTAATTAGTGTTATCAATAAAGATGAGGCTTACAATTAAAAACGTCGACGGCAAAAAATAATCCAACATTAATTCTCAACGTATGGTATAGTACGGATGATCTTAATAAAAGCCTTCTGGGAAATCAGTGGGAGGCTAATGAAATCGTGAAAAGACAGCTTGATTGAAGTAGCGACAGCTAGCGGAGGTTTAGAAAAACTCTAGACAAGATGTGAATTGAATGTTCTATAGTCTGAATTGAATGGATTTAAACTGGGTTATAATGCCATTTCAAAGAATTGAGAGACTAAAAAGTAAACTCATTTTCTGAATTAAAACATTTTTGGCAGAAGTGAATAGCCTGAATTATTCAGATAACAATTCAAAGCCAAAAATCGTTTATTCACATAGGTACACTTACGAGCATCACACCAGTTAACTGGACTCTAAATTTACAAATACAAATATTCCTTATTGTCACAAAACAAAACAACAAAAAAAAATATAAAAATTGATGAAAATTAAGGACAAACGGCGACTTTTTAGCTAAATAGCTATCTCTTCCAAGCGACCATGGTAGAAATGAAAATTCAGTAATAAAAAAGGAATTTACTACCTGTTCTTAAATTTATGCAACGTTATATTCTTTATACATAAATGCCTGATTCATTGGAATTGCATTTTTAATTTAACCGAAATAAAAAGGACGCGACGCCATTTTGATAACCGCCATTACCTTTTAGTTGTATTTTTAAATGTTTTATAACCTTTTGTCTCTCCACACTATATGCGATAGAATAAAAAATAACATACATAACTTCTTGAATCCATGACGCAGCAATAGTCTGTAGTAAGACCTGGATAATCAGATTAGTCAATTGTCAGGACCTAACAGGTGGACAAGCTTATTCTCCTCCCGTCAAAGCTTATTAGCAAGAGAATGAATAGGGCGTATGAGCCATTTAATCATCTTACTTTTCGCTCAAACCAATTTGTTAGGATGACAAGTCAGATGCAATGATATCGTCCGTACTTGATGGATAGTTGTGTACGAAAGCGGTTAACGCATTTTAATGGATAATTGATTTTTGTACTTTACCTTTTATCGTGTTTGATTGATGCGTATGCGTTGATGATAGTTATTCTTATTGATGGGCCTTTTATAGACGATTGAAATGTTTTGCCTACGCATGTTAGTACTCTTTTGTATGTCTATATAGAAAAAGATTTCATTCACTTAACTTTTAAGACGAATTTCCAAGAATTCACAAAAACTGCATAAACACTGTTGAAAATATATTTTGTGTATTTAAACCATAAAAATAAGTAAATGCAATTATAAGATAATAGGACAAAACTGAAACTAAATTAAACACATACTAATATACATTTTAAGTTAAAAATGGTTACTAACCCAACGAACACTCAATAGATTTAATTAATTTTAAGAAATCTATGGATTTATGGTCTGACAAATAAATAATTATTATTAAAGAAAACTCAAACCTTCGTTTGCTGAGTTTTGCCTAAAATATGTTCTCAGTCATTCATTTAACTTTAAAACTCATCACTTGATTAGCTACTAAGAATTAAGATCAAGCATTTATTAAATAAGAATCTAAATCACAGGTGTGTGAGGGATATCTTAACTACGGGGCCTTATTCCGTCAAAAAGCATAACCTAACGACTGTACCAAACAGAGCAAATGACTCGACGTAAACTTGAAATTATCCGAAGGTAATTGCAAAATTAGTCTTTAATCCTGTACGGGGTTCGTTGACTCTCGGAATAATGACCTGATGCAATGATGGATTATGTGCTGTTTATTGTTTTTGTCGGCTTCTTGCGTACGAGACTTGACAGTTTGACCATCTGTTTTTAATTATCTCGGAGCAACGATTTTGAAAAGGATTTTTAATTGAGTTTCGCTTATTTTTAGGTACGGCGGGACTAAACGGTTTAGCATTGTCTGTGAGGTTTGTAAACTTTATAGCACATGATGGCATTATGTATGTAAATTCAATATACATATAGATTGAAATATTTGACGTCACAGACTGGACTTGGCCCGGAATCCCAAGCGTTTTGCGCTTTTGGTTTTACTAATTGATAGGACACGGTAGCTCTATTGGTTAGAGGAGGAACGCTGTGAAGGTGTCGCTTCGGCTTCGGCCTCTGTCGTGATTTTATTTTCAATTTAAAGATTGAAGGTTTTTAATGTCTCTGTAAGGTTATATCTATTTCTAAATAAAAGATTAAGTTTTCTCTCTACAGTAGTTACATCATACAAGTTTGTTACAGGTCAACTTGAATTAAATAAAAAGAAGAAGAATTATATTAAATGAATGCCACATTTATTCTTTAAAAACTTACGTTGCTATAAGGTAGACGAAAAGTCCTTGTTTAAACTCCAACATCTTGTTTATACACTTATAAGCAATGGCGGTTAAAAGGCAAAACGAAGCTATTAGCAAATCCTTATTAAACTTCAAAACTCATCAGAAGCTCAGTCATATTCCGAACATAATTTGAGCCCGAAGCGACAGGACGGTACCAAGATAATTTCAAAGAATTTGAAAATTAACATCTCATCCTAAATCGTTATCGTAAGTTATTATGCAAATAGCGTTGGTATCGTGATTACTGGCTGAGTAATGACCCTGCTGACACCCAAATGTACGTGATAGGCCAGATGTTGTAAACCTTTGCGCGAGGTGCAAATTTCACAAATTCTAGCCACTTAATGAGTTGTTTTGCGGGAGATTTTGTTGCAAAGTAACTCTGCTATAAGGAATTACGGCCTCGGTAATTTTATACAGGTAGTGGTTGTACCTATAATTAAAAAGAGCTTGTAACCTAATCCATATTTAAAAGAAGAAAGAGTAGAATTGTTACCGATTCTAAAAATAACATATAACCTTACTTTAAAACTGACGTTTTTTTTATTCTACAGCAATATTATATAAAACATTAAAATAAAATTAGGAAGAATAAAAAAAATATATAATATTTAAACTGCAGCTGTAACTAAAATTTTTGAAAATTTTATTTTAAATAATAAAATTGCAAAAATTGCAAAATTTGTAAAAAAAATGTTATACACTCCTGCTAAAGGGCCGTTTAAGTTCGTTTCCGAATAAACAAAATGACTTTACACTTTCTTCAGCAGTGTTATTAACACATCGATTTATTATGCTTGAATGAAAGCGAAATTCATAACAACTAAAAATGTACACAGTGAACAAAGACATTTAAAACAAATTCTGAAACATTTGTGTTCATGCCTATAAAAGCTTATATTATACATCTAACTGTTTCTCTAGATGTAAAATAAAGTTAAATATTATAGAGCGCTTTGTAATTGATCTTTCTATATAAATATTAAAATAAATAACAATAAAGTTCAATAATACGGCCATGAAATATATAGTATTCTGTAATCTGTGTAAAGCAGCCGTGGTCGCGGGGAGACAGCTCCTGCAAAACATCCGAAACGTCGGGCCGTAGTTAAAAATAATTTTCAAACCAGTTTAACTAAAATAT